AAGTTTAAGAACTTACTACACTTAAACCCGGGGTTCGATTCCCGTGATACACAGAGTACATTGTGTAGTTTTATGCTAAAAAGCAGAAGAAGTATTTTTTTAAGTAACTGGAACAAGCCAACTATGTACATATATCAAGAACAAGTGCATAAAAAATTTAAAAGAAAATTCAGGAAATGAGTTAAAAAAAGCAAATATTTATAGAAATATTTTAGGAACAAAAATAAATCTTAACAAACGCAAGATCGATGAAGCCTTTGAAGATTTACAGAGGAATTACAAGAATGCTAACTCACCAAGTAATGAATAGTGGAACATACACGAAAAATCTCACTTATAATAAATAAATAACTTTTCTTACACTGAACTAACTGACTGGCATTGAACACATATGGCTGATCACTAATTATTCATATTTATGTCATCCTCCTTGTCTCTGTATGTTATACAAACCCAAATCTCGGTTTATAACTTTCATGAACTTTCTAGATCTCAACATCATGCACCTTCTAGCAAACATTTAAGTTAAAACATTGAAAATATAGCTTGCAACAGTAATAATAATGTTACGATAGCGCAATTCACGTGACGCTTACTAACACGTAATGAGTATCTAGAACTTTCGTGAAGTGTTTGCCAGACGCCCTCTATTTTGTATATATATGACCGGCAAGAAGTGACGAGAGAAAATAATTGCAGACAGAGAGATATAGAGACAGATAATCGAGTCAAGCGCGGTAGTAAAGTGAGTGAATTGTTGTGAATTATAGCGTGTGTTAAGTTAAAATGACTGTGGAAATTAAGTGTATTGCAAAGTTGTATTGAGAAAGAATAAACTAGTTTTATTTAAGAAAGGACTTGTATCGCTGAAGTTCTCGGAAAGAATTTCTACGAAAAATTAACCAACGAACACAGACATAACAATATTAAACGTAATTACCAGGTAGTGATAACTCGCTATTAATGATTAGGCGACAGAACTGATATTTTTAACGCTTTCAGTTTTTTTTTTTAAATATTAGATGCATAATTGTTTTCTACAGGTATCGGACTTAACACAAGCCAAAATACTCTCTATAATCAACTTCAATTTCCACGGTTTGATTGATAAAAATAACTCCAGGAGAAACTTTCCATGTTAGTTTTAGCATATGGAAACCAAACAGTCGTCCACTACAAATCACATGCAAATAAGCAGCCAATTAAAAATACGAGAACTTGATATGTTTAATGAACAGTAGGAAAATCCAGCATTCTGTTACATTTCTTTAAATCATCAAAAAAAACAAAAAAAACAGAACAAATAACTAGTTAAATGTACCATCTTTTCAGCTGAAACCAGTTTACAGAATTAAAGAGGCAGTTTCTAGAGTTTGGGATAATGCACGTATTTGTGTAAACAATTTATTCTTTAAAGAATATTTATGCATCCCTGTGCATCAGCGGTATGTCTGAGGGTTTGCAATGTTAGAAATCGGATTTCGATACCCGCGGTAGGGCAGAACACAGATAGCACATTGTGAAGTTTTGTTCTTAACAACAAACAAACAAAAATATTTATGTATACCAACTTATGAATATAAACGTAAAATATCTCCACCTATTACTAAATATAAAATTTTACAAAACCTTTAAAATACGTTTTGGTAACTTTTAATAATAGATTTGTTAAAACACCACACACATTTAAACTCTGCATATTACTACTAGTTTATTGTGTTCGCTAACTATTGACCAAACAAATCGCTGAAATTAAAATATTTACTTATGCAATTGTTAAATATTCCCTTATTTGTTGTATGTGGCAATGAATATTTGATCGATCTGCCCTTTCTTAGTTAAGAGCTGCATGACAAAATGGCAGACGAGGCGGACTGCGTTTCTGGTACCGAGGGCGTTACCCATAAATCTACAGATGATGTAAGTTAGAAGTTTTTAATATAATTTTAAAGACACAGTTCCTTCTAAAACTTGTTTATGTATACATTTTAAAGTTATTATCCTTCTAAAGTATGTTTTATTTCAAGTGCTTTAGGTTGCCATACCATAAAAAAAGAAGGTATCACCTTTCGTGTCCTTGTCATTTAGGTTCTGCAGTGCAATGCCAATAGCTAATTCTGCAGCAGAAGGAAGTTTAGAAACCGGCTCTTTCGCTCTATAATTGTTAACAAGTGCTAATTAATAAAAGGAAGTCTTGTAGCGCAGGGCAGTAACTTGTAAGAAATGGAGATAGATCTCTGGAAAACATAATATATATATATTACAATTTGCATACAACACTACATTACAACTTGCAAATTACATTTTTCTTTTCCATGGGTCTGTGAGAAAAATTTCTAAACATAGCACTACCGAAAACCTAGGCTATGGTAGTTACAATTATAGGATTTGCCCTTGTATGTATATAAGTGACAAAAATGTTAAAAGTTTACTCTTTGATAATTTTGTATTACAATATTTTTATGCCTTCTTTGAAGTGTTATTTCACTCCTGATTTGTTAGGTTGGTTGATTTTGATTTTCTTTATTTATACCATTATCCAAACTTCCAATTTTTAGTTAACATTATTAGTGAAAAATTAAGCCTCAGTTATTTAGTATATTAGAAAGTATTAAAATATATAGTAGCAATATAATCCTTTTTTGAACAGTTTTAGGCATTTTTGTGTCCTCCAGTGGGACAGCAGTAACCTTAGAGACTTATAAGTTATAACACTAGAATCCAGGGTTTCATTCCTCACAGTAGAGACAGCAGATAGCCTACTGTAGATCTGCTCTACATAATGCAAAAAAAAAAAACTTTTATTTGATTCATAGAACAATATAAAAATGTAATATTAATGTACAGATAGAAAACTGACATTTTCATACTATGTTATGGTATGGTAATAGTTTTTTTTGGAAACCTAGCAGCATAAACTATAGTGAAAATAATTCCATTAATCTGTAAAGATTTTTACTCAGATAAGGTAGTTTGAGAAATTTTCATTACCACTGACAATTCTATACCTGTGACTATTGGCTTTATCAGTGTAGATGTAGTTTGAACTTGTACAGAACATTCTTTTGGGGGTGTCAGACAGACATTATTTTTCAATATTTGAAGTGCCTACCAGATCCCTTTGGTCTCTGAGCAACTAAAATTAGTCATACAGGTTACTTGTAATAACTTTTCTTTGGTATTACTTTTTTTTTCTTCTGGTATAAATATCTAGATATGTTATCACACACACACAGAATTTCAAATTCTTTAAGAACTAATGAGTAAATTTTGAGTACAAGTTTCTCTGTTTTTTCTTCTGACTTTCAAAGTAAATGCCAGAGATGTAATTCATTGTACAGGTGAATGTTTTGTATGCTCCGATAGGCATGATTGCATGCAAGATAGCAAGTCTTCCAGTGGTAGCCTAGTCATGTTGAATGTGAGTCATGGTGCATGTTAAATTGAGTTTTAAAAGACAAGAACCAATAAGATTTGTAGTTTGCTTAGAACAGAAACAGACAGAACAAGCTCTTCAGTGAACTTTTGTAAAATCATAATGGTTGTATCAGTATATATCTGAGAGAGAGAACAGCTCACAGAAATTGCTTGTAAATATTCTTTTGTAGCTTCTAAAGACAGTTTATTCAATAGGAATTTAAATGAGCATCACTGACAAGTTGGTAAGTAGGTTTATATGTGAATATATATTATATTCACACACGCTATTCAAAATGAAATGTTCATGGACTTAATGAAGGGTTTGAAGTTAAAGCACCAAAATAACATGAGGAAGAAAGTACCAAAATAACTAGGCCCTTTCAATATACTGGTATTTAATATAATTATATTTGTATAATTTTAATCAGAATAAAGATTTTAATGTTTCAACTACAAGCATTATGTTTGCTGTTGGTTTGTGATTTTTTTATGTTCATTACCATAAGAAGAAGGTTCAGTGTTTTAATCAAATACTTTGTGATAGGGAGGAAGAGGCTCATGTGGAAAAGGATATCTTGGTTGATGAATGCTGTGTACCTTGTATTTCAGAAATTGTCTATATTCTCATAGAGATTGATTAGTATGTTGATTGCTTTTGAGATTGGAGAAAAAGTTGAGAAGTTGATAGGAAATTGTTTTATTGGTACAAGCAAAGAGTTATAAATGAGCATATTTAGCTGAAACATAGCGGCTTATAGAATGGCTCTGAGTTTTTTTTCAAAAACAAACTTTTAGCTCATAGCTCTGACATGACTTGACCAATTTGTGATCTAATCATCATCAATTTCTTGCTTAATGTCATCGGAGTCATCTGTTGAAACTGTTATTTTTTACTGAGACAGTTTGCTTCCAGACAGTTGACTGATGGGAGTCGGTGTTTAATTCTTTATGATCATGCTCTAAGTGATTGGTGGTATTTCCTATAAAACACAAGAAAGTACTGAACAAGAATATGTAAGGTGTGATATTGTTAACAGTCGACATACGAGTATGTTTATATTTAGAAAAGCAGATTTATTACTATTAGAAATATTGATTTATTTTTGACAACCATGAAATATTTTTTCCAGCAACAGAAAATGAGTCTCGTAAATTTAATAGTGGTGCGTTGTGATTTAGAATTCCTTATTTCTAAAAATATTAAACTTGCAAACCAATTCTACAGTTAATTCAATTCGTGGCCTGTGCAGCCGATATCGATGTGATAGGTGTACTCACAATGTAAACCAACCTTTGTATGCATACAATTTTTGACAAAGCTTACAACTATTTGTTTTTTTTATTAAACTATCATTTAAAATTTATTATGGGAATAACTATCAAGCGCCTGGTCGACTTGCAACAAATGACCAAGCGTCGATATAATCGATGATTGTGCACACCACTAACTGTTATTCCTCTTTTTTTTTCAATTTTCCTTCCAACTCTCAGTCTGGCCACTGACTATCATTTCTAGTAGACTGTCTAAGCACTTTTTCCATAATATACTGACACGTGGAGGAGACCAGCAGACATAGAAATGTTATAACATTCCAGTTGGATAAGATTAATATTATTTTTTATAACCATGAGTTCAGTACTATAGAACTGGTAAATTTGAATTCTCTGAAAAAGGTATAAACAATAATATACGTCTTTTATAGTGTCTTACCAGTGGAGATGATCAAGTGAAAGACATTAAACGAAAACTTGAAAGTTGGAGAGAAGTACTTATACCATTACATTCATTCTTGATTTGGAAACAACCCTATTTTCCTGCAATTCTTGCTGGTGTGGTTATCTTGATGTTTATGTAAGTTTGACTTGTTTCTAAACTCTTCTCTGTACTCGTGATACCAAATAAATATTAATGTAACTCGTGTTTTCAATTCAGTTTGTATGTATTACTGTAAAATGTGTTCTTGCTGATCAGTGGTTTACCTTTTGGCATTAGTTGAGACATGAAGAGGATAAACCAATAAAAATTATTAATTTTTAATGTTTCAACTGATTTCCTATTTATACATTATAGTAATTTCTTCATTTTATAATGTTAAAATATTAAATTTAATAGAACATGAGCCAAAGGTATATGCTTTAATTCTGAATATCTAGCAAGTTTCAGACATATCTTTATATATATAGGAATTTCTTTACATCTCAGGATGTTTGTGTATTTAATCTCTCCCAGGTTCCTTCTGACATACAGATTCCTTTCTTTGTATATCTTTCCAATCCAATATTCCATGTTTAAGTGCGTGTTTTGTGATAATGGCTGTAAATTTAATTCTACCATTGAACAAGTTTTTAAGATGCACTAAAATCTTGAGCATTAACTGAACCATTAACTTGAAATATAAACTGTTTGTTTTGTACACTATTATATATAGTATTGTGAGTGATGAGAAAGCTAGTCTTGGTTTAAGTTTTGTTTGAAATGTTTTATTTGTAATTACTACAGTAAAACAGACTGGAATTTCTGAGTATGGTGAATAGGTTTTCATATTTTACTGAATATTTGTGCATGTTTGATTTGTTTTAGAAAGTGATGTCTCTCTGTAGCAGTAAGTAGACAATTTTTTAAGCATTTTATAGCTTCTATTCCAGTATCAGTTTCAAACCTTAGCTTGTTCTTTTGTGTGTGTTCAAGTTTGCCTTTCTGGAGATTGTGTGAAAGTTCATTCACCCAGAAAACTAAAAAAAGCAGTTTGAATACCTGTAGTTTGACTCATCTAAAAAGTACCCCTATTATATTATTTTATGATGTTTTATTATACCTTATATTCCATAAGACTTTCATGGGTCTTCAACATCCCACACCTTGAATTTGTACATACAATTGCCTAAAACTATCTGCAGTCTTGCTGATTTTTGAATAACAGTATTTAATGTGTTATGCTAGAAGAATGACATGTTAAAGATTTGTTTTTTACACATAGTTTTGATATGTAGGTGTGTGTGTGTGTATTAGAAGACAAAAGGTTAATAAAATATCTCTAGTTATAATTCTTTTTATCAGTTTGTAAATATTGCTTCACCTGGTATGGTCATTTTTTGTATTTGTCCATTTCAGTCTTTTGTGGTACTTTGAACCTTCTGTGTGCACTAGCCTTGCTCTAACTGGTATTATTGCCTGTATCTTGGATTATGCTGTACCCATTGTTATTACAAATTTCTTCGATCCAGCAAAATGGTAAGTAAGAGAAAGACTTTACTCTGTTTTAAATTTACAATGTATAAAACGTTGTTTGGCCTGAAGTGTTTGACAAAATGAATCTCAATTTTGTTGCACAACACCATTAGCATAATAAATATGGTTTTACAGTATTTTGCAATTAAAATTTAAGGAATCCATTAACTGGATCATTTTTGGTAAGTTAACTTTTTTCTTCTGTTTATCTCTGTTAAACTGATAAATGAACAAAATGTGAAAGAGACTGAGAGATGATCTTTAGAGAAAATATTGGGAAACATGGTTTGCAAGTGGACTGTTCTAATGGTACGAGTGTATGCATGCTAGTATTGTAACAGACTGTGTGCCAATGACTTTATGTAATTGAAGGAGGGATAGAACAGGCAAGAAAAACACAAATGTTTTAGAAGGCAAGAATTAACCCTCTTTATAGGAGTATTCTTTTCTGCGCATATCACAAGGTTTTACTAAGTTACATTCAAAATTTAAATGAACTACTATCTTGTCATGGTATATAAATAAACTTGGCATAAAAATGTAGCTAATAATCCAAATTTTAATATTATTTACATTTTAAGTTGTTAATTTTATAAGGCAATATTTAAAAAATTCCTGAATTTTCCCTAGTATAAGAGTTATGACATTTGCTATCTTAGTGTCCCTCTTCTGTAGTATATTTACCACCCTCCGAGAAGTATGAAATTTAGCGTAAATTACTCATTATAATGTTGTCATTGTTCAGGTAAAGCATAATTTTTATAGCCTTCAATCTTATTTGGTTACAGAGCCATGAATTATATAATCAGACCCCCCTTTTGCCACACCCACCTGTCACATCCTCTTTTTCATAAATTGGCAATAGTTCTATCTGATGTTTAATAATATATTATTTATAACCAATAGAAAGCCAGAGTTTTAATCTATCAAATGATGTATTATGTTACTTTGTTTGCTGTACAGAGAAATGTCTAGTTCACTTCCAGTTCAAACTTTATTCCCATGGGAAATGCATCAGTGGGCTTAGCTGAATTTTTAATGGCTCTTGTTGCATAGTTAGAAAGCCAGAAAAACTGTGATAGTTGTAGGACATTGTCTGCTTTTTGCGTGTTCTTATTCTGTGTTATTTGGTACATTATTTAATTAAATAAACATTTAGTACAGTAGTACCATTAGTATAAAAAAATTAGGGTGAAATTTCATCAAGAGTCGATAGCAAAGAAAAAGAAGAAATAGGTATTTTATTTCTTGTTTTTGTGTGTATTCTTTATTTATTATTATAAAAGTAACTAAAATGTAAAAACTAGAAACTTTATAGGTTAGATTAGGTAAAGTAAAAAATAATAACAATAAAAGATTTTACAAGGGACACTTGCAAGTAGCCCATGTGTTGTGTAATTTGATAGGGTAACATGAGTGACTTACAATTTGTATGGCAAGAATATTAGTTACACACTGTTCAAAGAGCCATAAAACAATAAAATTTAAGTATAAACAAATGTAGTTTCATGTTACAATTTTAAGTCATTCTAGAAAGAAAAGAAGGGGTAATTTACATTTATTTCGAATTGATTTTTGGTGGTTACGAAGTGGGTCAAATTGACCAACCTTGTATAGTTTAGAATAGAGAAAATAACAGATAAAATATAATTTTACTGAAAAAATTCTTTGAAATTTATTTAGGAAGTTTTGACATGGTCTTTACCCTTTACTTGACTTGGCATGGTCTTTAGTCCATTACTTGACTTGGCATGGTCTTTAGTCCATTACTTGACTTGGCATGGTCTTTAGTCCATTACTTGACTTGGCATGGTCTTTAGCCTATTACTTGACTTGGCATGGTCTTTAGTCCATTACTTGACTTGGCATGGTCTTTAGTCCATTACTTGACTTGGCATGGTCTTTAGCCTATTACTTGACTTGGCATGGCCTTTAGCCCATTACTTGACTTGGCATGGCCTTTAGCCCATTACTTGACTTGACATCATGGTCTTTAGCCCATTACTTGACTTGACATCATGGTCTTTAGCCCATTACTTGACTTGGCATGGTCTTTAGCCCATTACTTGACTTGACATCATGGTCTTTAGCCCATTACTTGACTTGGCATGGCCTTTAGCCCATTACTTGACTTAGCAGTCTGTTCTTGTTCATTTGTAGAACATGCCCATCGTATATCCATCTATACAACTTGATCATTTCTTTGAGTGATTGATTGTTATCCCCTTCTTTTTCTGTTAATGTCTCTTCACTTTTATGATCAAACTATCTGATCTTCGTTACCTTTCTTAAACAATTACTGTCAAAACTTCTCAATGTAGCCTATTTCCTCTAATCCTTGTAATGAAGTTTAGAAACTTGCAGGTTGGATTATTGAACCTGGACCTATTGTGATTAAAAATATTGTTTTTGTTTTTTTTAAATGTATCATCTGACCTCTCTTATGCTCATTATGCATACATCATTATATAAGTAGGGTTAACCACAAAGGATAATGACTGTTCCAAAATATTATCCAAAAACATTTCCAATATGGTGAAAATTTTCATTATTACCTCCTGGGAGCAGGTGTGTGAAATCCACAGATCCCAGTTTTTGGGATGCACAAACATATTAGTGGATTAAGTTGCATGAAACTTACCACAAACTTTTTAAAGAATATGTTGTTTCTATATTGGAAAAAGTCATATAGTTTAGTGCCTCAGATTTGAAAGTCACAGTATAAGATGAAAACAGTAGTTGTACTTATAACTAGATTGCTAGAGAACATTTAAAGAATCCCTTTGAGTCATTGATGTTTAGAGATAAGAATGAATTTACACTAATTATTGAATGTAAAATGAATAATACTATCCCACTAAAAGATACTTTTATTAAAGTACCAAAAATATTTGCTTTCAATGGCCAAGGTCATACTAACAGCATTATGTCATCCAAGAAATGTAGATGACTATGACATTATAATCAGATCGCTACAACTAGCAACAAGCTTATGCTATCTTGTTTTAAACTCTCACCCAAAGTAACGCTTAAGTACTGAGACATGTCATTTCATAAAGCAGTGTTGAAATATTCATTTAACTACTATTTCCTTGTCATATTAAGATATGATCAAATTTCCTTTAAAATTTTTCGAGCGTGTTTGGCCTTGCAACAATATGACATGTGTCACACATGTTCACAAACCATGCACCTCACAAGCAGTTCATAGCACACACTTTTCTCTGTCAGTTGCTAACTGCTTATAATGTGAAATGTACCCTATTGAAATAACACCATGTCCAAGTGTAAGGCACCAACAGTGGATCAGGAAAGTGCAGTTAAATAACACCATGTCCAAGTGTAAGGCACCAACAGTGGATCAGGAAAGTGCAGTTAAATAACACCATGTCCAAGTGTAAGGCACCAACAGTGGATCAGAAAAATGCAGTTAAATAACACCATGTCCAAGTGTAAGGCACCAACAGTGGATCAGAAAAATGCAGTTAAATAACACCATGTCCAAGTGTAAGGCACCAACAGTGGATCAGAAAAGTGCAGTTAAATAACACCATGTCCAAGTGTAAGGCACCAACAGTGGATCAGAAAAGTGCAGTTAAATAACACCATGTCCAAGTGTAAGGCACCAACAGTGGATCAGGAAAGTGCAGTTAAATAACACCATGTCCAAATGTAAGGCACCAACAGTGGATCAGGAAAGTGCAGTTCAACATTTAATGATTGGCTTTTGCATACTGTGTCAAATGGATGAAAAATTGAACACATCTGAAAGCAGTACGTAACCATGAATTTATCAATCTGAAAACATTAAAACCAGTACAGTCAGTACATTTGCCTGTATGGTAACTTACACACTGAAAGAAGAGCAGTTTACAGATCTGGCTCAGTTTGTTGATATGTGAGCCACCTTTGTAGCCTCTAGTGCTGATTGCGAATGCAGGTTTTGTTCAACGAATCGGATCGGAACCAAGTTTTCTAACAAAATGGAGGTTATTTATATGTGCCAGCTTATGGGAATAAAATCCTACCTCTCAGCAAATGGAGATATCAACCATTAACGAGATTTACTGTCACTGTAAAATGGAACATTTCCAGCATAAAGACTAATGAGTAACTTGAGTTCAGTATTTCTTATTTAAATTATGAGTTCATAATATCTGCAATGCCCTCGCTTTTATGTTATTTGCTTTTATTTATTTTTTAAATAGTAAACACTATATATTGCACTAATGAATGAACCCTTTAACTATTTTTTCTTTGTTAGTGGCATAAAGAGTTACAACATTTTCTCTCTAGTTTTAGTATAAAAAGACCTAAAATGCGAGCTGCCCAAGAACAAAAAGTAGGACTCAGTGGAGTTTATAATCCACCAAAGAAAAAGAAAATTTCAAGGGAACATTAAATATGGTTATGACATGAATGTGTAATACCAGTGATTCTCAAACTATTTTGAATTAGTATATCCATTGTTTTGACGAGTGAAATACAGTGTGAATGTATGCCTCAAAATCGAAGATTTTATGGTTATGTTTAGTATTTGCATCAATTTTTAATTTTCAAAATCTAGAAATACTTCATAAAATTCTACTTTAAAAAAATAATAAAAATTATTCTTGTGAGGTTACTTTAATTTATTTGTTATTGTGTATCTAATTAAGAGTTTATTTCAATAGAACCACAAGTTTCTTGTCTATTTCTATTACGAAGTTTACAAATATATGATCAGTGATATATATATATATATATATAATGAGACAAAATAAAATTATTTATTATTATTGATTGTTAAAGTTCCATTTTATACATTCAATTAAATTGAACTTGTTTTATGACCAATAAAATATTTGTTTGCTATTTTCTTTTGATATATATATTTTTTGGTTATTGAAGCAGTTATGTAATATGGTAAAAAAAACACATTCCATGTGATTAATAGTGATTTAGGGCTTCGTACTTGCTAGCCCCAAGTATCCATATGTGAAGTTTTTGTTGTAAACAAATATTTCTGTAGGTTTCAAATAGAAGCAATGTATAACATAAATTGAGTATCAACAACTATAAAAAAAATTCCTAGGTCTCTAATTAGTTAAGAACTATTTTAAAGATTGTTTAGGAAATTGATAATGTTCATGTATTATATTTAATGGTGAGAATGGTTGGACTAAGGAACACAGATATAAAGTTTGTCAGGGTAGGAGTCATCTTCAGCTAAAACAGTTTTACTTGTGTAACAGGGTGATTGATATTTGTAATGATTTTCCTCCAGATGTGGAGGAAGTACAGTTTAAATGAAGGCTCGATAAATATTTGAATGATAAGAACTTGTTTTGAGTTTTTTTTTTCAATAGTTAGTGTATGGAACAGTATAGATGGACCAACAAGTCTCTTGTGTCCTTAAAACACAGTTCAAACCTCAAATGTGGTAACACCAGAATACTACTTCCAAACATGATACAATATAAAAATGTTAATTACCAAGTTTACAACAAGTTTTAGTCGAACATTTTATCCATTTTCTCAGCTCGGGTACATTACCATATGTCACAACCCTGTGTGTGTGAAGTATCTACTTGTAAGTAATCAATAAAATCATAGATCAGTTTAAAATGTCTCTAAAAGTTTGAAATATTTTCATTGTAATTCTACAGTGTTTCCTGGAGACATCAGTATAATCTGTGGTAGCAACAAGAATATAGTTTCTAATTCAAATGAATACAAGAAGTAGAATGTAGATGTTATATTTCTGTATTAAATTAACCAGATAACCATTATATAATGTTTAAATTTTATTCTGTAATTAAATTTTGAATGAAGATATACAGTCTTGTACTTAGAGTAGCCTAACGTAGAATCAGTCCTTCACAGGACGTGTAGAAAGTGTATGATGTATAAGTATCTAAAAACTCTACTATACTGGTAAAAAAACACATCAAAATAATTCCTACACACGATAGTCTAAATTCTATTTATTTGGCCTGTTCACAATATAACAGCTACTGGACTGTAATTGTAAAAAAAAAAATGTAGTTAAAAACAAGCAGCCAAAATTAAAAGCATAATTTGTCTTGGGAATGATATTTTGTTATGCTTGATTTGTGAAGAGGAAATCTGAAACTGTCGTTACAGGACAGGAGTACAGGAGAAGAAGTTTGAAGAGATCTGTCAGTCCATAGTGGAGGCACAGAAACAAGGTTGTGATTTGTGGCACTCTTTCTTGCAACTGAGGGACTCAAAGCCGAAAGTGGTAACACTTTTTTTTGTTAAAATATATATATATTAAGGTTTGTAATAATTTACTCTACTACCAAATTTCTTTACATCTCTTTGAGACTTGAATGTTATCCTACAATTGTCCTGGCAGGCAAGAGGTTTATTATATGTCCTTACTGTGGGGATAAATTTAATGGAGTGAGAATAAAAATGTTGTTTATCAGAGTATGTAATGAGAAAAACTACAGCATTATTAATGTAACTATAAAGATGTAGTGTGAGATGTATAAAACTTTCATTTGATGTACAAGATTGGACTCCATTTTGAAACTTCGATTACCAACAATGCACAAATATCTACGAAAGAAACAAAACAAATCTTGCAATACTGAACAATGATGGATAGAAACTGAAGGTCCTGAATGATTAGTACCAGCTCATTCTGTAATTCCATACTGAACAATGATGGATAGAAACTGAATGATTAGTACCAGCTCATTCTGTAATTCCTCATCCATCTTTCTGAAGGACAGAAAAAACTAGTCAAAGTTTTAAGCATAATCTGGTATATCTAGATAATTAGGAAACGAAATCCAAGAGATCGAGGAGGTTCAGTGAAGACAAATGTTTGAAAATTATATTTTAGTGATTTAAAAAAATCGGATAAGCTTATGTCCATTTACCTAAACACAGAGTAAAATCAAACAGATGTTGTTTTATAGTTTTATTATTTCACTAGTAAAACGTGTAGATTTTATTTAGTTTTTACCATATTTCACTAGTAAACGTGTTGTTTTTCATTTTTTACCGTATTTTAATAGTAAAACATGTAGATTGTATTTAGTTTTTTACCATATCTCAGCAGTAAAACATGTAGATTTTATTTAGTTTTTTACCATATCTCAGCAGTAAAACATGTAGATTGTATTTAGTTTTTTACCATATCTCAGCAGTAAAACATGTAGATTGTATTTAGTTTTTTACCATATCTCGGCAGTAAAATGTAGTAATTTTATTTAGTTTTTTACCATATCTCAGCAGTAAAACGTGTAAGATTTTATTTAGTTTTTACCATATTTCACCAGTAAAATGTGTAGATTTTATTTAGTTTTTTTACTATATCTCAACAGTAAAACATGTAGATTTTATTTAGTTTTTACCATATCTCAGCAGTAAAATGTGTAGTTTTAATTTAGTTTTTTTACCACATCTCAGTAGTAAAATGTGTAGATTTTATTTAGTTTTTACCATATCTCAGCAGTAAACGTGTAGATTTTATTTAGTTTTTTTTACCATATCTCAGCAGTAAAACATGTAAATTTTATTTCTTAGGATAGGTAGAATTACATGCTGTCTCCAGTGTTGTAGTTGTGTTTTATAGTTAGAGGAGTTGATATGTATATTTCCAGTACTTTGTGAGTATGCTGACTTCTCTGCTGATCTTGACTTGGATAAGTACCCTGGTGAACAATCTGTTCCTCACATTCTTGTTAGGTAAGTAACTAAATATTATCCAAGGTTTAATTAATTAACACGGTATCCTGCAATATATAACTTGTGCTCGCTGGCTGACATAATTAACATGGTATCCTGCAAAGTATAACTTGTGCTCGCTGGCTGACATAATTAACACGGTATCCTGCAAAGTATAGCTTGTGCTCGCTGGCTGACATAATTAACACGGTATCCTGCAATATATAACTTGTGCTTAGTGGCTGACATAATTAACATGGTATCTTGCAAAGTATAACTTGTGCTCACTGGCTGACATAATTAACACGGTATCCTGCAATGTATAACTTGTGCTCGCTGGCTGACATAATTAACACGGTATCCTGCAATATATAACTTGTGCTCGCTGGCTGACATAATTAACACAGTATCCTGCAAAGTATAGATTTTAGTATACTATGGGTGGGTGGATTCTATCCAGTCTGTATCCCACAAAGTAACCATAAAACAGTTATACTGTAAACTACAATTATAACAAGAAATCACAGATATTTAGTCTAACTAGTTTAAATCTCATAACATTGTACATCTATATATATAATTTTTATTTTATTGACCTTTCATCAGTGTCTGACTAACATCAAGAAAGCTGCAGTTACATGTGCACTCTTGTTACCATATCCAGTAATTTAAAATTGACCTTTAGTCTTTACAAAATGACCTGTCTTGGCTTTGTTCTAGTTGACTAGTATTTTGTAAAATAGTCACATTTCATTTATAATACATCATATGTGTATATACATTATTACTGTTTATAAATAAGTTCATAAACTTATTTTTCTTAAAACATAAAACAGTAAATAAAGAAATATAGAAAATGGTGATCTCTTCTAGTTACAAACTTTGTACTTGTTTACTGCTTGCCATAATTTGCTAAGCCTTGTCAAATTTCGTACATGGGAATGCAAAACAGAATTTCTTTAGGTTTTATATATAAATATGTTATATGAAATAACAAACAATCATATATTACTATATCAATACCACATAATTCACTACAACTTATCAGGCTTAGTAACTAAGCTGTATTTGGGTCTAAAAAATATGATTTTTTGAGCTCTACAATGTCCTACTTTACCACTTCGATTCCACCATGAATAGAAAGGTTTCCCTGTGTAAGCATTTCCCAGTGGCTAAGAAAACCATGTGGGAGACATTCTGAGCTTTTTATTGGTTATACACACATAAGTAACCACATATTTCCAAAAATGGAAGAGGTGGGTGGGGCCACCTTGGTTGATTCAATAAATATAATAATATCTCAGAAAACAGAAAATATAGGAGGTTCTTATATTCTAGCTTGTAAATATTGATAATTTGAGTTTCTAATTCGTAAGAAATTATAGACTTTGTATTTGGACATCACAAACATCTAATTTGAACCAGTGCTGCATTCATCATACCACGTGACACACAAAAATTGATGTTTATCTGTTGTTGTTTTTTAATATTTGCTTTTAAATTAATAAATTGAGTATAGTATAATACTAAAATTTGAATTATAATCTACAGTTTAATACAAAACTTATTGACATAAATTCATGAAATGTTGAATGCGAGTCAACAAACGAGATGACATGCCTTTTGAGCTCCCCTGACCATTGAAAGACCCATCTCAATAGGGTTTGTAGTTTGAGTAAATAATGTCTACGTATCTCCAGCCTTGTTTTCTTACTTTTTTTATGATCCCTATTTGCAAGTTTTTAAATTCCCAATTTTTTTATTCATTTTGTAACTTATTGTTTAACTAGCTTTCTGAGACATTAGAGCCTTAAAATAATTACCTTAGCTAAACAATCTGAACAGCACGAAAATTTTAAAGTGAAGATGTAACATACAATACTTGTACTATAAATAATGTAACATTATATATGATTTGAGAAATTAAAACTTTGTCTTTCTATTGGTTTAAAATGTTAGTGAATTATTGGCAACTTGTGAAAAAGAGGACGTGACAGGTGGGTGTAGTAATTGGATTAAACTTTGTAGTTTGTGTGTCCTTAGACAAAGAAGATTGAAGGCTATAAAAATTAGGCTTTGACTTAGTAATATCTTCATTAAACTCTGTACTTCAAAGAGGAGATAAATGAATTAGAGAAAAAATGTCATTATTCTCGTACACGAGGAGATTGAGGATTTATTTAAATATTTCCTTAAGAAGTTAAACCTTGTGTAATATTATTAGATTTATTAACTATGTTTTGATGCCAAGATTATTCATATACATTAATGATAAAATTGTTTAAATTTTGAATGTAACTGCAAAGGATCTTAACCTACCTGTAGCAAAAGGGTTAATAACTTGGTGTACATTGAAACTACACTAAAAAGCTAGCTTGGTAGTAAACTAACTTCCTGATCATTAGTTACCTATTTAATCGTATTCCACTGATAAAACAAATATTACAATAGTGGTACTGCCGAAATTGTTAAATGTGTATAGTTAGAATGATTCTTTAGGCAGCTGTTTTGATTAGAAATTCCCATTAGTTCTCAACTAAATGGTTTGTTAAAAATGTAAAAATGGTTATTTTTAGGTGTTGAAATTTATAAAGAAAAAAAAAATTTGAAAACATCAGAGAAATGGTAATGATTTATATCTCATCCCATTTTTGTTTTTAAAATCTTGTGGGATTTTAAAAACAAATGATATGCAAGTTTGTCTACTAGAGAAGATAAATCTTAGAGAAACTCTCCTGTGAAAAGTTTTGTTTATTGTAAAAAGACCTGATTTGGCCAGTTTGTAATCATCTTTATTATTACTATAAATATGTGTTACAGGCTACTCCTTAACCCTTTTGAGATGGGTCACGGGTGAAAGGCCATGTCATCTCGTTTGTTGACTCGCATTCAAAATTTTATTGAACTACTATTTCATGAAATTATGTCATAACTTTGGTATCGAACTGTAGATTATAATTTAAATTTTAGAACTATAAATTACTAAATTTGTCAATTTAAAGTAAATATTACAAAAAAAATGAGATAAACATCGATTTTTGTGTCACATGTTATGTTGAATGCAGCACTGGTTCAAATTACATGTTTGTGATGTCAAAATACTAAGTCTATAGTTTCATACAAATGAAAAATTCAAATTATCAATATTGACAAGCTAGAATATAAAAATACGAGCCTCTTATCTTTTCTATTTGCCAAGATGTTGCTCATGTAATAAATCAAACACTGTGGCACCCTGCCTACCTCTTTCCAT